TATATATGAAACATTTATTTGTGTACAATCATTGTGTGATACGTGAGATATACTTGTTTATTACCTACGTACACACTTTAAAATTCTATTATACTTTTATGTGTTACTAAGTTAATTAAGCATTTTTTGGGATTATGGTAACTAACAACTTAATAATCGCTCTTTGTTTTTTTTACTCAGTTTAGTTCAATAGTTAAAAAATTAAATATTAATATGAATTTTATCGCTCAGCTTGTCTATATATCATATTAGAGTTTAAGATAATGATTTTCTTTTTTTCGACTTACCGATTTTCGAAACAATATTTAATTTTATATGTAAATCTATATTGTATAGTAAATCCCGTCGATACTAATAATTAATTAAAACCTATTCTTCAAATGTTCATCTAACATACACACTAATCAATTACACACATCTGTTGCACAGCATAATGACCGGTTTTTTTTATTCGCCTAATAACCTAATTTCCCCTTGAAACAAATACGTTATAGCCCGCATATACGATTCTACTAATACAAAAAAAAAAATTCAGCATTAGTGTTAATGTTATTATATGTAAATAGACCACGTGTTCTAAAAAAGGACCTTAGGTAATACAATTTTTATGAATAATCAAATTGTTTCTTAATAATGTGGCTACAATGCAGAATATATAAATATTGCTGAAACCAGCGTTGGGTTTTTTAAGAAAAAGCTTCTTCATCTCCATTAGTATTTACTGACTAGAAAAATCATTGATTGATTTCTCTCGTTCCTTTTTATTAATAAAAAAAAAAAATTTTAAAAAATTACTTTTTCCTCGGGATATTTTGCCTGGTGCAATTTTCACGTAGGTTGGTACAAAAAAAAATAAAAAAAAAAAGGAAACTTGAAAAGAAAAATCACCTTTAATAATTTCTATCTAACAACGAAATTTTTTATATAGGATCTTATTTGAATAATATCCCTTAGAAAAAGAATACAAAAAAAAAAAAAAAAACAATAAAATGATGAATTTCAAAGTCAAATTTACCACCCTATTCATCTCCTTATTATGGCTCTTTACGACTTCGACCTATGCCCTTAATGGAAACAGTTGCAAAGGTTCTAACCTACAACCTGCTAATGGAACTCAAAATCCCAACGGTGAATGTGTTAGCACAGTTATGGGTGAGCTTCCATCGAAAAATAATATGATTTCCACCATTATCAAGTCACCAGCAAACGGCCAGACTATTCAAGCAAATACACCATTTACTGTTTCAACAAGAACACAGGGTCTCAATGCTGGCTTTTTCTCAAATCCAGCCACACAATATTATGTAATACCACAATCACTTGGTGCTAATGGTCAAATTAACGGACATAGTCACGTTACCATCCAACAACTCAACGGTAATAATCCTCCTGATCCGACAAAATTTGCATTTTTCCAGGGATTGAACAATGGTACGGTCAACGGAGATTTAGATGTTGTGGTTGCAAATGGTTTACCAGCTGGCCAATATAGAATTTGCACTATGGTTAGTTCGTTCAGTCATCAGTGTGTTCTTATGCCTGTTGCTCAACGTGGTGCTCAAGATGATTGTATCAGGATTAATGTTGCTGGCGGTAATAATAATAATGGAAAAGCTAATGCCGGAAAAGCGAATAATGGAAATGCTAATGCCGGAAAAGCTAATAATGGAAATGCTAATGCCGGAAAAGCGAATAATGCCGGAAAAGCTAATACTGGAGGAAACCAAGGTAATAATGGAAAAGCTAATGCCGGAAAAGCGAATAATGCCGGAAAAGCTAATACTGGAGGAAACCAAGGTAATAATGGAAATGCCGGAAATCAAGCCAATAATGGAAATGGTGCAAAGGGTGGAAATCAAGGTCAGAATGCTAATGGAGGAAATCAAGCTCAGGGTGCTAATGGGGGAAATCAAGGTAAAGGTGCAAGGAAAGCCAAAGGAAAGAAATCAGCTCAACCAGGAAAAGGAAAAAAGAGAATGTTTTAATTTAATTATAAGGTAGAAAATTTTTTCTTTATTTAAATGTATATTCATCTGTGTGGGGTTTTTGTCCATAATCGGGTTAAGAATAGAGAATTTCTTTTTGTTTATAGTAGTTTCATGAAAAAAAAAATCCTTGATAATCCTTGATTAAATAATAGCAGCTTTTTTATTAATATACGAATTCCTTTTTTGTGTATAGTAGTTACAGAAAAACTTTCTTGATTTTTAAAATAAAAGTAGTTTTTTCTTTTTTAAAATATGATTTTACAGTTTTCTTTTCTGATATCGCTACAATTTGCAAGAAGAATTCAAAATATCATTATAAATTCAAATTTATGTAATTAAAAAACATCAGATATTCAAATTTTGATGTACTCGAACCTAATTGTTTTAATTACAAACGTTTTTATAATTTGTTTCGATCGATCATAACTAATAGCATTGATATATCGATTAAAATTCTTTTTTTAGCTTTCAAATATGGAATATTCTCAACTTTTTAAATATTATCAATGTAAATTATTATGACAAAATTAACTTATTCTCTCTTGACTCATTAGTTAGATATTTATAAATTTATCTAATTTTACACGATTTAAAAGATTGAATTTACGAGTTAAAAAGAATTTTAAAATACAAATTGCTAGAATTAAGCATGATCCTATTGTCACACCTGGAATTCACCTCTTAATCGAATTCTGGAGACAGGCGTTTGGAGTATGAAGACTCTAAACAAAGTGATAAGGCGATAAGTTAAGACGTTGAAACAATCAACTAATCAAGGAGGATTTATAGGTTTTGTCGAAAGAGGCTACAACTCTAATGTATATGAGATACAAAAGGTTGTATTTTTCTATTAACTACAAATACAATGTCAAGTTTGTGTTCTCTGTTCACAGTGTCACATGATAACTACTCTGTTTCTCTTTTAATATTCAAGGTAGATTTAACGTGTATGAAGACACGATTATATTTATTAAATAGAATATAATAAGAAGAATACAAAAGAGATAAAAACTAAACTGCTAAGTGGAGAATTCGAATGTTAAAGGGAAACGAAGTATGAAGGTCAATTCAAGGCAAATTCGAGTGACTTAATATATAAAATTCCAAGGACGAAGATAAGTAACGCAATTCTAGTTCTATTTGATACTAAATCGATCGTTTAATTATTCTCATAAAACTAATTCAAAATCAACTATTTTAAGTATGGGGACATACATTTAGAACGAAAATATGTCAAGCATAGTAAAACTCTACAACGCGAAATAGGGTTAGTATTAGGGATGTTATCGTGCTTGTCCAAACTCAGTTTGAGTATGTTTGAAAAACAAACCCGTTAAACTCGAGTTTTGTGATCATGCGATTTTAATTAGAAAATTTTAAACTCAGTATTGTTCATAATGCTCAAATCGAGTTTGAAATCGATTTCTCAAGCAGATTTTTAATTAAAAGTTAATTTCTAACGATATATATTACGTATAATAAGCATTACGCAATTTTTTATTTTTTCGTAGAAGTATTTTCATTTGCTATAAATACGTTGTTTTTGTTTTTTATTTTTATACGATGGTTGAAGAAAAGCACTTGAAAATTTTAATAATATGAATAATCTTACCTCCACATCAATGCAGCAATGTCAACGTTATCTATCTCAACATACACCTGAACATGCTCAGGAACACATAATTAATAGTACATTTAAATAAATAGTTTAAAGCAGAGTTTGAAACCCAGTTTATGTATGTGGTTCGAAACAGTGTTTGAAC